TAAATATATGAAAAAATGTTCAACATCTCTAGCAATTAGAGAAATACAAATCAAAACTACACTGAGATTTCATCTCACTCCAGTCAGAATGGCAATCATCAAGAATACAAGCAACAATAAATGTTGGCGAGGATGTGGGGAAAAAATACACTCATACACTGCTGTTGGGACTGCAAATTGGTGCAGCCAGTACTGAAATCAGTATGGAGATTCCTCAGAAAACTTGAAATGGAACCACCATTTGACGCAGCTATCCCATTCCTTGGTTTATACCCAAAGGACTTAAAATCAGCATACTACAGTGACGCAGCCACATCAATGTTTTTAGTAGCTCACATTAGCTAAGCTATAAAAAAAAAACCTAGGTACCCTTCAACAGATGAATGGATAAAGAAAGATGGCATATATATGCAATGGAGTATTACTCAGCCTTAAAGAAGAATGGAATTATAGAATTTGCAGGTAAATGGATGGAGCTAGAAAATATCATGCTAAGTGAAATAAGTCAATCCCCCAAAAACAAAGGTTGAATATTTTTTTCTGATATGAGGAAGCTAATTCACAATGGGGACAGGGAGACTAAAGGTACTTTGGACTAGGCAGAGGGATGTGATGGGACGGGAGTGGGTATGAGGGTTGGAAGGATAGTAGAATAAATCAGACATTATTAACCTATATGCATATATGGCTACACAACCAGTGTAATCATGTACAACCAGAAGAATCAGAAGTTATACATTTATGTATGATGTGTCAAAATGCATTCTACTGTCATTTATAACTAATAAGAACAAATAAAAAATTAAGAGTTAAAAAAAAATCAGACAGAGGAGGGCACATTCACATAAAAGTTTGCTAATTCCTTCAAGATGAACCAATCACCTAGAAAGTGTTCTTTCAGCTTCCCTACACTGTCCAGGCAGTTACTCTAAAGAAAGTCTTCAACTTTCTCTACTTCCCATCATATCAACAACTACATTTAGAGAGAGGAAGTAAGACAATATATAAGAATCCTGAATCATACATTTATTCTTTTAACCACAAGTAAAAGAAACCATGGCCATCTGTGGGATCTAGTATAGGTAGGCACACTTTGGACATCTACTCAGTCCCACAAATGGATGGCAGGACACTGCTGCAGTGCTCATGGGTACTTTCATCAAAGCAGACTCATCACAATGACTGAAACAAGGGCAGAGGCACAACATGGAAAGTACAGTGTATTGCTCCTGCAGGAAGGGTAGACGCACCACATGGAAAGAAGAATGTTGCAAGGTGGAGGACCTAAACATACAATGACTAATGCAATAATAATATACATTAGAATTCTAGATAATGTGTTGAATGTTTTATTTGAATGATTTCATTTAATTGCCAAGACAACTTCAAAAGTGGTAGTGGTAATAGAAATAGTAGTGCATAGTGGTGGGGGAAGTCCCCTCTAGGGGGAAAAAAAAATCAAAACACTTCTTGACTAAATGACAAAGCTACTCAGAATGGGCTAGAATTCAAATCCACAAAGTATGACGGCAGAGCTATCATCTCAACTCTGGGGGCCTTGTGTATTGTGTGGCTCTGAATTAGAAGGTGGTGAATTATTTATACTTACAAAGGATATTGGCATGGCAAAAAACTAAACACTTGATACTCCAACTGAGAAACAAGTGTTTATGACAATGAGAAATTCATTTGAGTGATTTCTGCTATGAGCTTTTAGGTCATTATTGTGATGTGCTCCACCAAAAGGTTGGCCTTTCTTTAGGCCATCACTAAAATCCTTTTAGTAATGTAAAAAAAAAAAAAAAAAAAAAAAAAAAAACCTCTAATTTGTGACCTGAGGAATATGCAGTTAGAGACATTCTAAGCAGTTCCCCAGTTATGAGTGTTCCTAAAGATCCCAGAAAGTCTAAGTGTGAGATCCAAGAGTGGCACAAGGTGACACACTCTACAAGAGGTAAACATGGAGGTTTGGCTGAGGAAATGTTCAGTGAATGTTACAATAACCCTACACTTCAAAAAAACTACTCTGTGCCCCACTAGTAGGATGAGAAACACTGTGAATCACCCATCTATTCCCAAGTGAACACAGGACAGAAAATTGTAAGACTTATATGGACAAGAGTCAGTACAGCCAGAAGTAGACACAGCAAGGCACAGCACAACAGGGTTTCCACCACATTGATAGTTATGTCTCTATATAGTTCATGTGCTTTGAAATTCTATTTACTTTACTTTACATGTTTAAAAACATACTATCAAAAGGGTCCATAGGCTTTAATAGACCGCCAAATGGAACCAAGACACCACAAAGCATAACTCCTGGTAATGGAAGAGCTTTAAATCAGTAAAGCCAGCTTGGAATGCCAAGCTGTAACCTTTGCCAATGACAATCATTCCCCCTCAGGGTAATTAGGATCCAGGGAACAGTCTGATCTGCAGACCAGAATACAACCACCACGAGTAGAGTTGTCCTTATTGGTGTTCAAAAGACAGAGACCCCACGGATTAATTGATGCTGAGCACCCTGAAACAGAGTAAAATAAAAGTCTACTCATATAAATCGGAACTATCTAATACAGGTGATGAAACAAGTAATCATTTCAAATTACAGCACTCCTAATAATTTTAATCTTGTTTGATTAGTTCTTCCAAATGTTTCAAAATAATTACTTATTCCTTCAATATATGGAAATAAAAAAGAACATCAAGGATTGGATGGCTGCGGCACTCCCTTCTTTCTGAGAGAGTGAGGCATGCCAACTCCCACATATGAACGTAAGTAGAAGAAAACAGAGCTAATCTGTCATCATTCCCATCCAGACTGGGGCAAAATAATATAACATGGCTAAATCACAATGGAAAGGATTCCAAAGGTAATTTACATGTTCTGGGGAATGCATTTCAACACTGGAGTGCCTGTGAATGTGTCTGATATTCTAAGATTTAACATCATAGTAAATTTACACACACACACACACACACACACACACACACACACACACAGCCACACAGAGGTAAGTACCCCTTTTTAAAAGAAATTAAGAAAACAATAATTTCCCTCCGTGTTGTGGTTTAGATATTAGGTGTCTCCCAAAGGCTCATGTGTGAAACAATGCAAGAAATTTAGAATGAAATGATTGGGTTATGAGAGTCTTCAACTAATCTACTGCATCAATCCACTGACAGGGATTAACCATAGTCAGGTAAGGTGTGGTTGGAGGAGGTGGGTACCTGGGGATGTGCCTTTAGGGTTGATATTTTATCCCTGGTGAGGAGAGCTTGCTCTCTCTCCGCTTCCTGGTGGCCATGGCTTTCCTCCACCACACACTTCTGCCATGGTGTTGTGCCTCATCTCAGACACTAAAGAATGGAGTCAGCTGTCTATGGACTGAGACCTCTGAAACTGTGAGCCCCCAAATAAACTTTTCCTCCTCTAATTGCTCTTTTCAAGTCTTTTGGTTGCAGCAGTAAAAAAAGCTGACTAAAACACTCCTTTCCTCAGTAATTTTGACTTTTGATTTAAAATTAAAGTAAGCAATTTCATATAAAATCTGAGCTCCCCAATAGTAACTTTAGATTAGCAATGAGGTTAGAAACACAAATAACAAATACAAGCACAAATTGATCAAATAATAAGAATTTAGTATTTTAAATATTACATTTTATGATATTTGTTTGAAATGGAGATATCATGAGAAATATATAATTCATAACACAGAATATTTCTGTAAGTTGGAAATAAATCAGAAATATCCAGGCCCATGATGAAAGTTTAAAAGGGGCAGGTGTGATTGCGTCCCACTATTCCACCAGCAAGTGCTGTGTTTTTCAGGGTTTGTGGACACCTGAGCAATAATTTATTTATTTTTTAAAAATTTTTCATTAGTTGTTGGTGGACCATTTTTCATTTATTTGTTTATATGTGGTGCTGTGAATCGAACCCAGTACCTCACACATGCTAGGCAAGCAATCTTCCACTGAGCCACAACCCCAGCCCCCTGACCTGTAATTTATAACAGTAGATTAATGTTCTAAGTTTCATTGTTTTAGGAGTTACATTTGCACAGAGAAGTGAAGTGAATATTAAAAATCGAATAAATAATTCTTTTTTAGTGATGATTGATTTTATTCACATTTCATGAACGTGTTTTATTCTTTGTTAACAAAAATGTATAGTTTGTAATCTAAAAGTGAATTATACAGTTTTGAAATATTGATTAAAAAAAAACCTATCTTTCCCACAAGATTGTTACAAGGCTCAGTTAGAGGGAATGGGCAATATTTTGTATAACAATGAGGTTTACTTGATGTTTTGTTTCTCCTCTTTTTTTAAAGAATAATGATTATTCTTCCCTCCAAACTGGGAACAAGAATCATAGAACAACAACAACAAAAACAACAATGTCAAAACCCAACCAAACAAAAAAAACTAAAAAGTGAAAACATCCCAGATTGTCTTGGAGTGGTAACAGGGAGGTTACTGTCTCAAGTTTTCAAAATCTTTGGCTTCCATATTGATGTTGCCATGCTAAAAAACTAAAAAGGGTACAAAGAGAAGAAAAAAGATTTACCTATTAGGATCCTCATAGATCTTGAATCTTTCTTTCTACCTATTTTGATTGGTTTACTGAATTCCTAATGAAAGGATCTAATGAATGTTCTGAAAGAGCATGAGTTAAACATGAAATATTAAGGTGACAATGTTATGTTATCATAGTTTATATATCATAAAGTGTGTGAAAATTATCAAAAATTTTTCAATATTTTGATCATTTTCTTAAAAACATATAATCTCAGCCAATTATTAAGAAATGAAAAAAGTACAATTAACAATGTGCCACCAATATGTACAATACTAGTATAGATTTTTATGGTACAGTTAGTAATTCAATGACTTTAATGAAAGTTTTCTAGACAAAAAAACAATTTACTTCAAAATAATTTTAAGCTCTACTACAAAGTATGATTTGATCTTTTGACTATAATAAAACCAGAGAACATACAATTCGAAATTGTTTTTAGTTTTATTAACAAGTCATGTATAGTTTCTTTTAATTAATAACTAAAGATTTTGTCATGCTTCTTAATATTGAAAAAGTAGTATAACTGGAATTCAGTTTGCAAAAAATCATTCTGAAACCTGATTTCTTCTTCATATTTGGTGTTTGAGAATTCTAGGGCTCTCATATTTTAAAAAGGAGCAGATAAATGTTTGAAATATGCATATTTGAAGAAAATACAGTAATATGAAACCACACAAGAACACTCCAAGTCATTGTTTCCTAAGGTTTAATTTCAACTTACAAATTTTAAATGATGATTGTAATGCCAATCCAAGTTTTTGCTTATTTGCAATGCATGAACTATTTTTTATAACTTGCAGGTGAAATATTCCTTTCACCACAGTATGCTTTTACCCTTATTTATGCTCTGTTTTTAATTTTTTCCCCCTTGAGTCTTTTTTCTTCAACAGTTTAACACATCACTTCTGGTTCAGCTATAGAGCAATCCTAGAACAATAATGTTTCAACTTGCAAGGAAGAACACCCTTGTTGAGTTGGTAGAACTCCACCAGCTGGATTAGATCCGTAAATCTAGTATGGCCATCATCTAGAGTGTGGAACATTTCACCATCATCTTCCACCTGCAAGAGGAAAAGCAACAAGCTGATAAAGAGAGTAAAGAATCCAGAAGAATGATGGTTGCTCCACTGCAAGCTATGTCTTCATGCCAAAATTGACAAGTTTATAAAACTAAGGACTGTGCAGAGAACAGCATGGCATGTCCACTTCTTTTTTTTAACTTCATTTATATTTAAAAGAAGTATCATCTGATCCTTGGATAAGAGACATGCCTCCACTTTCTCTACATCTAATTCTCCCAGAGATCTGTTTAGTTAGGATAGTTTAACTATTTTGAGTCAATGAACAGAGAGCAATCAGTGTAAAAATAGACAGGAGATTTTAATGCTTCCATGTATAGAAATTAATTTCTATTTCTAAACATTGTCTACTTAATGCCTCAGTATACTAAAAAATGACTATTCATATAATTTTTATCAGTAAATTCATTCTGAAGCAATAAAATATTATGCTAATGGAATGTCAGTTGAATTTTTTTGTTTGGTGGTGAAATCTTCTAGCATTAAATGCTCATACTTGCTGGGGACACTGATCAAATAATCAAAGAAGCAGGGTTGGTACTCTATATGGCCTTTGGATGATTTCAAAAAGAGGCAATTCAAAGGAAAGCACCAGTAATTTAAATAAGACCTTCCTGAAAGTAGACTGAATCTGTTTTACTCTGCCTGAATCCAATATGCACGCACATATGTACATATGTGCACATGTTGACACACAACAGCAGAAGCAAAAAAAACCCCAAAATCCCAAAGCAAATTGAGCCAGCCAAAACTAGAGTCACAGATATTTTAAAAATGTTCCCAGGATTATTTAAATGTCCACCAATTTCACAGTTCCTGTGTTTCTATACAAATAATTTAAAACAAATGAACAAAAACTAGCAACAATAATAGCAAAGAATGTCTTTGAGAAAAGAGAAGAGAAAGGGTTTTAAAATAATGTTTTTTTAAGGAATGGTTAGAACTCAGAAAAAAAGAATCTTTAGTGGCCTTTTAACAATAGGTGGCATGGGGTCTATACAATATTGCTAAATCATATTTCGTGGAAAAAAGATAAATTTAATTTTTACAATTCCTGTATTTCTTATATTAATTCAGGCTCATAAAACCATTTCTGCCAAACTTAACTCTGGTCAAAGCACAAGCTCCCACATTATATTTAATAAAAGGAACAACAGAAAAACAAAGTTTCCAAAAGCTTATGCATTAAGATCATATCTAATATACGAATGTGAAATCACAAATTACTTACTGGTATAATTTGAAAGTGCTTTATTTTTTGTCCATGACTCATTGACAGGACGAAAGTTTTGGGGTTACTCTGACTATCCCGCACCAAGAAAACTCTAAAGAGAGAGAGGAATAATTTCAATATGTTTCTACATTTACTCACAGATCTCATAGAAACATAGCATGTAACAAACCCAGGACGTGTACTCATAAAAGCTGTAGCTGGGATCTCCTTAACTGTGTATTCAGTGGGTATGATTATTCAACTTGGTGAATGATATGTTACAACATAATCTCATACTACAAAACTGTCATCAGTGCTAATGTAATTTTAATAGGATAAATACACAGTCTATTTGTGACATTGTTTGCTTACAATACCCAGCATAACATTCTGTTGGCATCAACAGTTCATGTTGTCCTTTTTCCACTGGGAAATTGGGTATTCACATGTAACTACCAGAAAGAATAAGGGATGAGAAAGAATAAGGGATGAGTGTGTGTGTGTGTGTGTGTGTGTGTGTGTGTGTGTATGGTTAGTTAGGAAGTTAGTTAGTTTATGGGTCATGATAGGCCCCTGAAAGGACATAATGATTTAGAGTAAAATCATTTTTTACCCCCTTTTCTACACTTGGTCTGCTTTCTTCTTTTGATTCTGGCTTCTACTGTTACACGACAGAAAATAAGAAATGATTATATCCTTAAAATCCATCTTTAAATTGTTTATTAAATGTTTAAGTAAAAATGTTTCAAGTTAAAAAAAATATACCCAACATGCACTTTAACCTTCAAGAATGCAGTGGGAAAGCCTCTATTAATGTCAGGTTACAAAAAGAAGACGTGGCCTAATGGTCTCAGAGAAAAAGGCTGCCGGGCATGGATTCTTATTTACTGGCAATGCAGTGAAAAGCCAGTTTTGTATTAATTACTGGCAAACACACTGTGTAAGTGGTCCCCACTGGTGACTCCAATACTAATCTCACTGTGCCTGGGCAAAGAGGCAGCCAAATCTGAGGCATCACAGATGTCTGATGAAATTATCCATTTTATTTGTGAGACTCTGACATTACATCATTGGGAGACAGGACAAAGGGCATTTCACGGGAAAATTAAGCAGTAATTCTTCCCCCTCCCAAGCAGATCACCACTACCACCTGGTGGACCACCTGACATCTTCACAACTTTCCAAAGGAATACCAAAATAATAGAAATAGGCATGATTACTCTGTACAATTAATTATTTTCTCCGGGTTACAAATTCATAAATAAAGGGAATTATAATCTTCTAAAACATTTAAATCATTCTTTTTTTTTCTTTTCCTGACCTCATTGGATTGTAACTCTGATCACTGTTCAAATTTATATCCAAAAAAAAGACTATGCTCCAAGCAGAGAAGCATATTAAAATCCTTTCTTATTTAGAGTCTGGTGAAATGCTGACTTGTTATTAATAATCTTCCTTGTGAAGATGCATTTTTACCCAAATGTCAGTATTAAATCTCCTCAAACCCTTGTCATCATCTTAAGTCAACCTTTGAAGATAAAAGATTCCTTCTCCACTTGTTTAAACTGACAACGGTTTCATTTTTCATCCAATCCTCAATAAAATGTCCTCATTGTACTGCATTTGGGAAGGAACTTAGCAGTATTAAAGTACCTGAAACTGAGTAATGTGAGAATAAAATCCTTCAGATTATAAATCTCTTATAAAATATTTTATGCTTCTCTTGTGTACTCCATGGTATCCCATTAAAAGATAACACAAAAAAACCATCAAAAAGTAATATTTTAATATATTCATATTTTAAGCTGTTAATATTTAGAGAAAAGCAATAGGGATGTAAACAGAAATAAAAGCAAACATTCAAAATATACAAGAAAAAAAGCTTTCTACTTAATACACCCTGCATTATACCTAAAAAGATTTACAATGTATAAGGATAATGTCATAATGTAAATCATATTTTAGAATCATATTAATTACTTGTTCAAATTAAAACATTGATTACCCAAAAACAAGGTTAGTTTTTTTTCTCTCATGAATTAATATCTAAAATGCTAGAATTGGCACAGAATGGATAACATTAGTGCTTGTAGTCAAGAACAAAGAATCCTATTCTCTGTTAATTTATACACAAATACTAAGCACACTCTGTGTACTAGGTATTATACAGATATTGCTAGAATTCAGTGATAGCCACTCTTACAGAACAAAGTCATTTCTGTGTTATGATAAGCCAAAATTAAAAACACTTGGTGTGTACTGAATAAATTATTATTATTTACTGGCAAAATCCAAACCAAATCCAAAATCCAAACCCAAATTCTACTCAACACTAAAAGTTTCAAACTTACCCATCCACAAGTCCTTGCTGAATAATCAATCGCTGAGCTTCATCTCTGGAAATCTTGTGGTGAAACCATGGCTGGGACCGATGGATGGCTTAAGAAATAAAATGAATGAATACAAAGGTTTGCTTGCAGTGACTTCGATTTCATTACATATATGCCCCCCATCACTTAGTGACCACATGTCACTAAAGTCATGTCAAGCTGCCCATCAGCTCAGTGACCATGGCTAGGAGCAGACATACCCATGTTTGTGGCAGAGGTCTGTGAGGAGGCAGTGGGGCTACCGTGACTGCCCAGGCGCAAACATCCTTTTTTCTGAGCAAGGAAGGGGAAAACAAATCTCAGTTTTGGGGGTGAAACAAACTCAAATTAAAAATTCTTTCAAGAAAGTGAAATTATGAGTACCCTCCAAGCAAGTCCTTCTTCAACTGCAACTGAAAGAGCTTCCGTGGGATTTTCTATAACTCTGCTTTTCTGACCTGAGAAGTCCATTGCTACCAGGGAGTTCTCTGATATACTTCTCTGGAAAAAAAATTTTTTTGAAAAACAAAACAAAACCAGAAAACACTTGCAAGTCATGAAAATCTTCAAAAGTAATCGTTCACTGCTTTGCTGGCAATATGCTTCAATTTGAGACTGGGATTCTCAAAGTGGCTATCAGGAAATTAAAAAGTTAAAAGTACATATTCAATATAAAGTGATGCTATGGAGAAAATTGCTAAATAAGTTCCATGGCTATTTGTTAGGATAACTGAATTAAGTGCTAAGTAATGTGATGAAAATCTTTGAAAGAAAGCATGTCTTTCTCCTAAAACAAACGTCTTTTTCACATTATCTCCTAATATGGCAAAATTCCAATTGAGGAAGAAATAACCCATCCTACTGGCTTTAAAGAACTACCACTTCTGAACTCATCTCTGTATTAAACTTTTATGTCAAATCCACCAACTTTGAAGCCACGATTTTATGATTCAAAATATGTAAAAGCTATAACTTAGATTGATACACATCTTCTTAGAAATAGCACTCATGTTTTATAAAGGAGCAAATTGGAATATGTGTTTTGAAAGCTTATCATGTCAAGTTTCATTTTATTTGGAAAAATGAAATTTAGCAGAATAATAATACATAATATTAGATTTCATATTAAAATTTTTATGACGGGGTTGGGGCTGTGGCTCAGCAGTAGCGCACTTGCCTGGCTTGTGTGAGGCACTGGGTTTGATTTTCAGCACAGCATACAAATAAATAAAGGTCTATCAACAACTAAAAAATATTTTTTTTTAAATTTATGATGTACTATATAAACACTTTTCCCTTTTTGAAGAGATGGGTGGCCAAGTTAGTGCTGCAAAAACAACTCTGAATGACAGAAGCACAGACATGAAGACATATTTAAACAAATATAATCAAAACAATGATAAAGTCAATGTTTTTGCTTATTACTTCTTATACTCATAGTCTCTAATGGGAAAGTAAAACATATAAATCCTAAATCTTATTTTTATTTTCTTTTTTCTGATGTCCCATTTTGCAATCATCTTTCAAGAAACAGGTAAACTATTAATTTTTCATCTACCACCTGCCATTCAGTAGACAACATTTACTACATGCTATCCCACAATGAGTTGTGAGTACTAAAAAAAGAGAAAATTGCCAAATGCTCTAGTCAAGAGTCTCACATGTCTTTTTTTTTTTAAGAGAGAGTGAGAGAGGGGAGAGAGAGAGAATTTTTTTTAATATTTATTTTTTAGTTCTCGGCGGACACAACATCTTTGTTTGTATGTGGTGCTGAGGATCGAACCCGGGCCGCA